GGAGGGCGCGGGGCCTGGGCGACTCGGCGGACTCCGCCCGCGCCCTCTGGCCGCGGCGCGCGGGCGTGTTTGAAGCGGGCCGGGGCTCTTTGTTCGTCTGGCCGCTGTGGCTCGGGGCCCGGAGGTGGTTTACAGCTTTGATGCCCTTGACCTTACTCCCAGGTGACGGTGCTCATTTAGGCCTGGCCTGTGCGGGCTGTCAGGAAAGCAGGGTGACCGAGGGCGGCCCGGCCTTTCCACGGAGCTTGGACCAGGGCTGGGGGCCCCTCTGCCAGGGCTGCTCCCAGGGCGAGGTGGGGCCCCAGCGCGAGACAACGCGGGGGACGCCTGAGGGTGGTCCCCAGCTGGCTCTTGGAGCTCCTCTAGGCTGCCCCGGCTCTGGCCCCTCCAGGGACGTCTTCCCAAAGGCCATCCAGGAAGCCTGACCTCTGGGCAGGGCAGGCCCCACGCAAATGCGACTGTGTGCAGCGCTATTCGTGTTTATTTTCCCCCTGAGCCGCGGGCTCCTCCAGGCTGTGACTAACGGGCCCTCCAGACTCAGCGCCCAACCCCCTCCCCTGTGCCCAGGCTGGCCCACGGCTCACCCAGTGCAGCTAAATGCTTCCGTACCCCTTTCTTTCAAATTCAAAAACAGAGAAGAATAAATAAATAAATAAGGAAGTTAGGACAGCCAGGTCCCCCGACTGCTCCATCCTGCTCGGTGCTTTGCACTTGGGATAGGCCTGTGGGTGTGTGGACCCCAGGGCTTTTACCAACTCTGTGTGTCACCCGAGTTGGGACTGTCAGAGGCCCCGCGGCCTGTGTAAGAGTCCAGTGGCCCCTCCTCCCCAGGAGAGAAGCCCACCCTGCACCTCCTCCCTGTCCCTCTCTGCACCAGGAACTGTCTGTCCTTTAGTTGGAGGGTAAAGTGACTCAGCTGAGACCCTGGCTTGGTCCCGCACAGCCAAGGCTCTGTCCGGTGCCGAGGGACGCAGGCCCCAGTGGTGCCTTTGGAAATTGGGGCAGCACCTTACCATGGAGATGGAGCTGGTCTGGACGCTGGGGGATTTCACGTGAGACCCCAAAGGCCCCTTGTGACTGTCACTGCCTGGCTGACAGCTGAGAGTCACTTTTTTCGATGCCAATGTTTTCTATCTGAGACACTTCAACAATAAACTGGAATAGTCGAAGCCTGGGATCCTGGTGACGGCGCGCAGGAAAGCTTCCTTTGGTGGAGTCTGGAAGGCTTTTCTTACGCTGCGTTGTCAGCTCTGAGGCTCAGTACTTGGACAGGTGACATCGGCCCACTTTCATAAAGCGCAGCGGCTGCAGGGGCATTTCCAGGGCCGTCAGCAGGCTGTCTGGGAAGTAACCGTCAGTGGTTCTCATCTACTTCTGCGGTGATACCGCCTTGGAAACCCAAGGAGGGGTCACTATGATCGGGACTAACTCGACGGTGCATAACTACAACAACAAGAAGTCAGAATTCAAGCGAAAAAGTAATTGAGTTAGGAAATAACACTCAGTAGTGATAGTATTGTTGGACATGTGGGTTTTGTTTTAAAAATCAAGTCGGTGAGAAGACTAGTGAAGCCAAATATGAGCAGCCTATGCAACAAAACGTGCTGGTGTGTCCATGACAAGACCACCGGACTCCCTGGGACTCACAGTAGACGCCCTGCAACAAGGATGCATGGAAAAATTCTAGGGACATGTCATCAGCCCCGAGTCTGGGAGTCACAGCCATGTTTCCCACGTGTGTAAAAACTTGTGCTTTGTTTCAGGTGACTGCTTACCGACTTGTTCTGAAGATCTTTGCTCTAAGGTGTGTTTTCCTTCCACAGTGACCTTGATGGCTCTTCCGGTGTTAACCCTGCTGCAGGAGAGAAGGTGACACCTCTGAGATTCTTACCTGGGACAGTCGTTAAGAGGGAGGCACGTTTTCTGCAGTTTTCTGCAGTCCCTGGGCTCCGGGGAAGGAAGCCTGGCAAGCTGCTCCCATAAAGATTTACTGCCTCGGAAACCCAATGGGGTCACTATGAGTCAGAATTGACTCAATGGCAGTGGGTTTGGCTTCTTCTTTTTTTGGTTTGGGCTTTCTGGGAGGGAGCTCTGGTGGCACAGTGGTTAAAGTACTGAACTGCCAACCAAAAGGTCGATTGTTCAAACCCACCAACCACTCCTGAGGAGAAAGATGAGCGAGTCTGCTTCTGTAAAGATTGACAACCTTGGAAACCCTATGGGACAGTGCTACTCTGTCCTCAAGGGGCGCTACGAGTTGGAATGGACTCAAGGGCAGTGGTGGGTAAGTTGTGTATTAAGGAGCCCTGGTGACACAGTGGTTAAGCACTCAACTGTGAACCAAAGAGTTGGTGCTTCAAACCCACCAGGCACTCCGCAGGAGAAAGATGTGATGGTCTGATTCCGTAAATATTACAGCCTTGGAACCCCTCTGGAGCAGGTCTCCTCTGTCCTGCGTGATCACTATGAGCTGGACTCAACTCACGGCAGTGGGCATGGTTTTGGGCTTTCTGGGGATGATAGAACACGTGCTTGCTCTGATCTGAAGAACGCTGGCAGACCTTCAGGAGGTACAGTCGTGCATTCAGATGCTTGTGTTGACAGGACTGTACGGGTGAGCCCACCTGTGCTACTGACAGGCCCTGTGGTCCGGGGCCTTCTGGACGAAGCCAGGCAAAGAAATCACAGCTTCAGCGAGGCTCTGTGGCACTTCCTCTGGAGCTGGGGGGTCGTTCTCATTCCGCTGGAGTTCAGTGAACTAAGGCGTCAGCAGATACGTGACGGAAGAAGCCTGTGTTCCCCTGACGGAGTCGCTTCAATGGCTGGATGAATCAGTAGCGTCTGTCGGGAGACTGGTGACAGCATCGCCCCGAGTCGAGCTGTACTTCGCTGTTTGCCAGGCGCGCCCTCCTGGATGGGGGGGGGGGGCAGTGACGGGCCTCCAACAGCCCTGACACCTCCACATCAAGACTCTTGGGAGGCCTTGCCCTTGACCTGTTCTGTCAGAGACTGAGGTGATGGCAAATGTAGCCAGGATTTTCGAGAGCCACAAGTCCCCAAGATGGGGCTGTTGAGAAATGTGATAATGATGACATATCTTTGTCAATAGTAGGGTCCTTGGCTTGACTTTGCTGAACATTGGAAACATGTGGTCATGGGACAGAACTCTCTCAGGCCACGTGTGGGTGGCTTTATTTTCAGCAAGGCTTCAAGCCCCCTCACACCCTCCTCCCCACTAGGACTACAGGCCGCCGGCACTGCAGTGACCCCACGGCTGGGTGGGGGTTCACCAAAGGTAATGTGAGAGCCCTAGAAGCATGAAGGTGCTCAAATGCTGCAGTAAAATACCTCGCATGCCTGCTGAAATGGACGTCAGAAAACTCGGAGTCCCCTGCCTGGGCCACAGCGATGTGACACAGCCGTAGGTTACAAAGGGCCGCATCTAGTGCCCACGGCTCACAGCGTGTGCAGGAGGCACCGCAGACATCCCTCTGCAGGTCGCGTGGTGGGGCTTCGTCACGACGGTCCACATGGCGCCTCAGAGCACTGCCTCCCCCGGCTGTGTGGTTGCTGGGGGCCTCGCCGCCTCCTGCTGCTGCTTCCTCCAGTGTAGACAGTGGGAAACCCACTCCCATCAAGTGGATTCCAACTCACAGGGCGGAGTGGAAGTTCCCACAGGGTCTCCAAGGCTGTCATCTTTACATGAGCACAGCGACACGTTTTCCTCCCATGGAGCACCTGGTGGGTTCGAACCACCGGGCTTTAGATTGCCCATCGAGCGTTTAACCACTGCACCCCCAGGGCTCCCCTGCAGCCGGAGGAAGACTAGGAAAGCCCATTCCCAGGCTCGGGCAGTTCTGGGGTGGGAGGTGGGAGAGGAGAAGGCCTTTGCTCTGGTCCTTCCTCAGCAGCCCGGTGTGTGGATGGTCCGTGGTGATGCAGCACACAGGCCCAGCCCCGGGTGTCTGGGGCAGGGCCTGGGCACCCCTTTGTCTTGGGTCGAGAACACAGCATGGTGTCCTGGCAGCCCCTTGACTCCCCGGCACTTTGGGAATCCCTGTTTTTCTCCTGGATGAGGCAGCCCCTCGGGTCTGGGACTCAGTCCACACAGATCTGCTAGCATCAATCTCTCCAGCTCCCCAAAGAACCCTGTCACGTAGTCTAGGAGACAGGAGCCCTGTTCTCTCCACAGAACCTGACTGAGCCCCCACCCTCTGGACTGTGGTCTATGACAGGGACCCTAGGGCCCTGTGGACTCGCAGGCTGTCTCCCAGCCTGCAGGTTGGTTGACTTCACTGACATCCGCTT